TAGCTTTTCAGCAAGCGGTGATTGATGAGCTTTCGACGGCCATCTTATCAAACCGTCAATAAAAATAGTACTTACGGGCGAACTAGCGGCGTGCGCTGCGACGGCCGCTGGCGCCGAGCTTAAAGCCTCTTGCACAATGGAAGGAATAGCGATAGCGATAGAAATAACACAGTTTTTAACAAAGAATTCCAACTCGTCGGAAATTTTATCGCTATTGCTTATTCCGATTTTCTGATCTGCATTGATACATGTGTAGTTTTGTATGTTAGATTCCGCTGTTCCTACCTTTATTTTTAAATATAAACTCTTTAAAACTTTTGTTATTTCTATCGCTATCGCTATTCCGTCCATTGTGCAAGAGGCTTAAGGCGGTACTGGACACCGACTATAAAGACCTGTAAACCGACGTTTTTATAACCTAAATTTTTTTATTTTTTAATTTTATTTACTGCACAACATTAAAAGCGCTTCTACAGAAGCAAATAAATATACAAAACTATATAAAGCTTTTGAAAATGGGCATATAATGCTTTTTTAAACTCTTTTTTCATTCATAATGATAGTATATGCTATCAAATACACATCATTACGAACTCAGATTTCTCTCATCAATGAGATAGTCAAACCATAATTTGAATAGCTCATTCATTTGTTTCTGTCGTATATTTGGCGGTAATTCAGTACAAATACGTACATAAGCTTAGAAATAATTCTACATACATGAATATATGGTGAGGTTATAGAAGAAAACTGTCTAAGAAAAAATTTGTGCTGAATTTTGACATTCCAAAGCACACCAGCCAATTCTTAGCACAATTTACTTATTTCTGGAGAAGCATTTTGGATTTGATGCAGTAAATACGACACAGAATCTGATTTAAGAACGTCGGTTTACAGGTCGCTATAGTCGGTATCCAGTACCCTCTCAAAGCTGCCTTGCTGCTCGCGCTTTAAGCCTGTTCTACATTGATTGCAAGCGCAAACGCAAAGAACAGATCTGGTAGAATTGACTAATATGTATATATATATATATACATATACATATATTCATATTTATATTACACTCACATGTAAATTTTTAGAGTGAGTGTACTACAAATATAAATCAGTAAATAAAAAGATAGAAAAAAGGCAATAACGAGCTAATACCTGATGTTCGAGTAAAATTGTTTTTTATTCAAGGGTTTTAAAAAAATGTTAACAAACGTTTCGATTCACTATGGGATCTTTTTTAGTGTTTCAATAAAAAAATTACAAAAAAATCACGATCTATTCAAAACGATCATAAAGAATATGAATAAGAAAAGATACGCTACAAAGATATTCAGTTCGAGAAAAAGAGAGGCAGAAATGGCAGCTAAGTAACCGTCAGTATTACGCAAGATGATGCAAAACATCCTCCCGCTTCGAATGCGACTGACAGACTAAACAGCCTTTACCATATTCAAGGTACATAGGAGCAGAGTTGCAAACTCTGACCCGCTAGCACCAAGAGCACCGAGGTGGTGGGAGCCACTGGGAGCACGCACACAAGCGAGAACCGCCGTCCGTGTGCGTGACGTCACGCTCGGCACTTCGGCTCATGGAAGAGTGCAGACGTATTATGATGTTCCGTCTATATGAATTAAATATGAATTAAATACTTTAACCTTTTCGCTCCGGGGATTTTTCCTTTAAAATTGACCTTGCATTTTAGCTGAAAAAGTTAATAATAACCTGCTACCCCCCCTTCAAAGTTAATTTTGAAGGTCAAAGAAGTAACCGGGATTTTTTTCAATTTTTTTCCTAAATTTAGTGCATTAAATTGACCTTATAAACATCTATTACGTTCGCTTTTCTTGCTGGTCCATATATGGACCAGTCCCGGAGCGAAAAGGTTAAGATTACGCATCTATAAATGTAGATTCTTTTCGTAATTTACAAAATAAAAAAAAATATATATAAATATAGAACACTAATAATATATTTTATATATATTAAATGCTTTTCTACAAATTTTTTATCGCAGTTCACTTATATTAATAATTAATACAAATACAATGTATCTTGAGATGTTTTATCATTGGCCGCGTTCAGCAGATAAAACAGTTGCACAACAGTTGAGAGATGATCACTTGTGATAGGACTATTCCTCAAAATCTGCAACGGTTCTAAAAGTATGATCTAATCATAAGTGATCATTTCTTAACTCAGTTGTATCTGCTGAACGTGACCATCTCTAATTGAGGATGATCGCATTTATTATCAATAATATTATATACATTTCCCAAGATTGTAAATCTCGGAAAAACGTTTCACGTTGTCATACGCAACAAGCGCACAACGCAACATGAACGTGCCTCTCGTCTTTCATCTTGTCTAGCCGGCTTGATGGAAAGGAGACGGAACATCATAATACGTCTGCACTCTTCCACGAGCCGAAGTGCCGAGCGTGACGTCACGCACACGGACGGCGGTTCTCGCTTGTGTGCGTGCTCCCAGTGGCTCCCACCACCTCGGTGCTCTTGGTGCTAGCGGGTCAGAGTTTGCAACTCTGCATAGGAGAAGGCAGCTCAGTTTGTCAGTTGCATTCGAAGCGGGAGGATGTTTTGCGTCATCTTGCGTAATACTGACGGTTACTTAGCTACTATTTCTGCCTGTCTTCTTCTCAAACTGAATATCTTTGTAGCGTTTCTTTTCTTATCCATATTCTTCATGATCGTCTTAAATAGATCGTGATTTTTTTGTAATTTTTATTATTGAAACACTGAAGAAGATCCCACAGTGGATCGGAACGTTTGTTAACATTTTTTTAGAACCTTTGAACTAAAAAAAAATTTTACCCAAACATCAGGTGGTAGCTCGTTATTGCCTTTTTCCTATTTTTTTATTTAAACATTCACCAAGAAGTAAACATATAATAAACGAGTAAATTTGAATTGAAATTTTAATTCCCAAATTCACACACACACACACATAAAATGCTATATTTGCATCACTTATATGAGAAATATATAAACATTTATTTTTTATAGATGTACATAAAACTTCACTTTTATAAAATAAGTTTATAAAGAGGTTATATACTGAGGTATATATATACAAGGTCCGGAAAATCGCTGTCAATACTTCGGGAAGTAATTGGAGATCCAAACAGAAGATAAAAAAAATTATGTAAACATAGATCCGGAAATAAGTCGTTTTCGAGTTATAGCCACTTTTATGTTTAAAAATTGTAATTTTTTTCATAATCATAATTTATTTTATTGTGTTTTAACATAAATAACTGTTGTGTTTTAACATAAATAACTTTATTTCAGACTATTTTAATAGAAGAATAAGGACCTGCATTTGTGTTAAGGATGGTTATTTTAAACACAAATAGGTACTTAAATCAAATTAGATATGATGTTCAAAATGATCATTTTCAGCACAAATGCAAGTCCTTATTCTTCTATCAAAATAGTCTGAAATGAAGTTATTTATGTTAAAACACAACAGTTATTTGTGTTAAGACACAATAAAATAAACTATAATTATAAAAAAACTTACAATTTTTAAACACAAAAGTGGCTATAACTCAGAAACGACTTATTTCCGAATCAATGTTTAAATATTGGGATCTTGAATAACTTCTCGTTGTTTTTTCGCAAAAATTAATGCTTTATTAAAAAAACGTCGTAAAAAACATGTCACTGAAAGTACTGCTCATCGCTAGCCACTACTTTTTCCTATCTTTCTGGCAGCATTCCACGTCGGAAAAACGACACGTCTTTTGAGGCTATTCAAGAATCGACCCATTATTTGGCATTTTCATAAGAATGGAAGTACTGTTCAGCCAGGCTATGTGCTATCAATCGGAATAAGTGACAATCGGAAGAGGCAATGTCTGGTGAATACGGCGGGTGAGGTAGGACTTCCCATTTAAGCGTTTTCAAGTAGGTTTTCACCGGTTGTGCAACATGTGGCCGAGCGTTGTCATGTTGCAAAATCACTTTGTTATATCTCTGCTCGTATAGCGGCCGTTTTTCTTCAACGCTCGGCTGAAACGCATCAATTGTAGTTGATAGCGATCTCCCGTGATGGTTTTGTTCGATTTGAGCAGCTCATAATAAACTACACCCAACTGATCTCACCAAATGCAGAAAAGAAGCTTCGAACTATGGATATTCGGCTTTGCCGACGATGTTGATGCATGGCCGGGCTTACCCCACGATCTTCTATGCTTAGGGTTATCGTAGTGTATCCACTTTTCATCGCCAGTCACGATTCGATGTAAAAAACCTTTCTTTTTCTGCCATTGAAGCAGCTGTTCACACGTGAAAAGACGCCGTTTGACGTCTCTCGGCTTCAACTCGTACGGCACCCAATGTCCTTGTTTTTGAATCATTTCTAATACTTTCAAACGTTTCGAAACTGTTGTGTCATCTACTCCTAATGATTCTGCAAGTTCAGCTAGCGTTTGACATAAGTCTTCATGAAGTAATGCTTCCAATTCTTTGTCTTCAAACTTTTTCGGTGCGCCAGAGCGTTTTTTATCTTCAACATCAAAATCATTATTTTTGAAGCGTCTAAACCAATTTCTGCATGTTGTTTTTAACAGAGCATGGTTGCCATAAGTCTCAACAAGAATTCTGTGTGCTTCAGCTGCAAATTTTTTTTGAATAAAATAGTGCAATAAAATTTCTCGCAAATACACTTTTTTGGCACGAAACTCGACATGTTTAACACTAAAAAAAAAGTTGGTTACACTTCGGCGACCTAACACACTGAATTTCAAGCTTGCCTATGGTACTTCCTTATAAATGCGTTATACCACTTTAAACTAAACGCACGCAGTTCTGGTAACGTTATCTGTTGGGAAACAGCGAGAACTTATTTAAGGTCCGAATAACTTTTTTTCCTTCCTTTTGGATCCCCAATCACTTCTCGAAGTATTGGCAGCATATTTCTGGACACTCTGTACAGATTTATAAAAAAGAATTTTTTCCTTTATTTATAACCAGCACATATTATTTCAGGTGAATGCAAGTATTTGAATATGTTTCCAACCGAGATACAAGTGAAACTGGATTCAAGTTTGAATACAACAATGTTGAGTAAGTAAAAAAGAAAGATTAAAAGAATTTTATTGATTTTCTTCAGAGTTACAATAGTTCTTTACATTCCTCATCCACATTTCCCACAACCAATTTAAGCTGATTGGAGGCCCGATTCAGTTCGCTTTTCAGTCGATAAACTCGACTTGAAAGAGACCGGCCCGGAAAAATCGGACGGTGCGGATTCGAACTCGGGACCTCCCGTTTGCAGCCCTCGCACTCAGACCGCGAGACTACTGGGCCGGTGTGTTGAGTAAGTACAGTAACACATTTTTATCAAGAAGCACAGTAGTGCGCGCGACTTCGTTGCCTTTATTCCACAAAAATGAGTAACTTTGACATTTGTGAAAAATTGAAATGTTCATATTTCAGTAATAACTAAACCGACTTCTTTTTAGTCTCAATCAATTTAGCTTAAAAAAATATAAAAAAAAGTGTTTGTGTTTTTCTTGTTTGTATCTTCTATTCAAAAATTTTGAAGAGTAAAGTCTAAAACAATTATGTAAAAAATATTTTAACAAAATAAAAAACAATCAAATAGAACCAAACAGCCGGTGATTCAACGAGTGGTGGTTGTAGTATTTTTTTCTCAAAATTTGAGTAATTCACGTTTATATGATAAGTTACGCCAAGTAAAATCTTTTATACATTACAAAAATATATAAAATATATAAAACTTTGTAAGTTGTTTATACGTTGTAAAATAGAAAATATTCTACATCAATAAAAAGTTTCAAATATTGTATGACTACTGCACTGTTTATATAAAGCACTCATTGATGTAAGAAATGACTTCGCCTTGCGTGGAAAATCTTAACCTATGTCGAATCATACATATAGATTTCAATTTGTGTGAAATGTCAAAAACTTATGTGGAATGTTTCAAAATAAAAAATATTTAATGTAAAAAAACTTGGCGCGGCTGCACTTTGTCTTTAGTTTTCGGTGCAGCCGCGCCAAGTATTTTTACATTAAATATTTTTTATTTTGAAACATTCCACATAAGTTTTTGACATTTCACACAAATTGAAATCTATATGTATGATTCGACATAGGTTAAGATTTTCCACGCAAGACGAAGTCATTTCTTACATCAATGAGTGCTTTATATAAAAAGTGCAGTGGTCATACAATATTTGAAACTTTTTATTGATTTAGAATATTTTCTATTTTACAACGTATAAACAACTTACAAAGTTTTATATATTTTATATATTTTTGTAATGTATAAAAGATTTTACTTGGTGTAACTTAGTGATATCATTTCTTTTGTAGAATAGATCTTGTAGAGGAAGATTTTGATAGTAATACTTTTTCTAGAGATACGAGTTGCGCATGTACTTGGCGCCTTTTTTTATTTTTTTTAAAAAGGTATTTTGTTCGGATATCACACATTTTTGTAGAATATAGTTTTGACAAACACTGTTTTTACTGCATTATATATAACTTAATTGTTTGCGTCTTATTCTTAACCCTCAACGGACGGACATAGGTTTTCGTCTGGAGCAAAATTACTTTCTGAAAAAGTAAGTTTCTTGTTATTATATTTGCTAAAAATTATGAATTAAAACTTTTTTTTCACTAAATTTAATGATGGTGTCTTAAAATAGACAGTTTAAAGAGTATATACACATTGTTTCAGAGTTTTAAAGAAATATTTAATATTTTTAAAAAGCCCAAGACGAAAATGACCCATGTCCGGCGAATTAAGGTGTCGAAAATCACGCCGTCCGTTGAGCGTTAATTATTCTTTTCATATATTCATATATACAGGGTGTCCCAGAATTGATTTAACATCTCTCGTAGGCAGGTAGAAGGAATAAAACTGAGGTGAAAAGTCCTATACCATTTTGCTAGATTCGCAATAGTTACTGAGATTTTAATTAACAAAGATCCGCGAATAAGCATGCATCGAGCTGTCTTACGCGCGTAAGACTGCCCGCCGCGCTTCGCGCGCTAACGGTGTTACCCATAGCGACATATGGGAGGAGCTAATATAACAGCATATACTATAACATATACATATTAAAATGTAATTGTGTGAAGCGCGCCGGGCTGTCCTACGCGCGTAAGACAGCCCGATGCATGCTTATTCGCGGATCTTTGTTAATTAAAATCTCAGTAACTATTGCAAATCTAGCAAAATGGTATAGGACTTTTCACCTCAGTTTTATTCCTTCTACCTGCCTACGAGAGATGTTAAACCAATTCTGGGACACCCTGTATATATATATCAAAATAAGAAAAACATCTCTTGAATAACGATACACGCATATATATACTTTACACATTGAAGAAATTTTAATATATTAAATGTGTATTCTATTTTTTTCCACGTAATCGAGAATAAAATTTTTTGCAAGCATCATGCTCGCGGCTAAACAAAACTACGATTCCAATAAAATTACAGAACTGAGAGAAATACTATTACTTCGACAATGTAACAAATCTTAAGTGTGTAGAACAAATAAATTACGGCCATCCTTGTTCCGCATGAACATGTTTTCTCGATTGACGTCAAACAAAAAACATCTCGGCAGTCCAAATATATTTTTACATATCACGTATTAAAATTTACCGTTAAAGCTTAACCTGTTGAAGCTTATTATTAAATCTTACGCAAAGATCGATAAGTTACCATTAAGTCGCTACCACGCAACATCACAGTTAGTTGCAAAATTAATAACTAACAAACTAAAGGAGATAGAGAAAAACGGTTTGCGCTATAATTCTCAGCACATCAAACTGCACAATACCAGCCCAGTTTGAACATTCTAGATTTTGTTTTAAACAATCAAATGTTTAAATAATAAAAATTATTAAACTTTTATTACGTGGTATTTTGCATTTAACTAATACAAAACGAGATCCGAAAACCATTTTGCTCTAACTTGTACTGTTCTTGAAATATTCAATTTGTTATCTTTCACTCTTTGTCATAAATCGCAGAGTAGCCGATTGAAGGTACCTGCAAAATTAGTTTCAACAAGCTATATCTTCTGGTTCTCGAGATATCCGCGATTTGCGAAAAAGACTATGTATCTTTAAATGTAGAATATTAAAATAAATCAAATGTGTATATTTGTTATTCTTAAGCTTTATTGTAAGACCGCGTTTTCGGGAACTCTCCGATCACCGAATTAACATAGGATAGTATATCTATTTTATATTTAGTATTTTTTATTGTTTATTTAACAAATTTAATAACGAAAGAGTACGCTCAATAGTATTTTTTAATTTTTTTATATTTGTATTATATATATATATATATATATATATATATCATTGTATTATATTGTATTATTATAAAACACAAAAAAAGACTACGTATCGTTAAATGTAGAATATTAAAATAAATTTAAAAAAATATATATTATTATAT